CTGTACTGCAACTGGGAAAATCCGCATTTCGCACGTGCTCCACTCGTTTGGAATAGTAGCTTATGTCGAAAGGCTGGTTTTAGTATAATGCGGCATTCGCAGCATACCCTCACTGACGCCGAGCCGTTGAAGAAATTTTGGATAAATAAACGTGCAAGAAATAGTTCCGATACTAGCACGTACATATTCTTGTTAAGGGTCATCAAAAAATTCCATGTGTTGTAAATAATAAAGGGAATGCCGGATTATACTAAAGCCAGCTTCCCGACTTAAACTACTATTCCATACGAACACAGAAATATAAATGTATCTAAAACTGAATAACTCAAATCAAATTGGATTGCATTTGCATAATATACCTAATATTGGAATCTGTTTTGATCGTAAAAAATACAACTTGCAATCATTAGATTATAGTTTTGAAAGAAATTGATTGCAATCGTAAATTATGTAAAAATTGTCAATAACAATCTGCCTAAAATTTCTTTTCCCCATGTAACGGTTATAAAATACGTTAAATCCGCACTATCTGCATTAACAAAATATATACATTGGAATATTTAAAATAAACCGATTCATATTTATTTTCTAGTAAGAATTGTTTCTTAATTGAAAGTATTTAATACTAATATAATGTAGTGGTTAATGTTTTAAAATGAATTCGCAATATGTCCGCAGCTCAGGTTGATTTAAAGAAATCCGTTTAAATTTTTCGAATTACATCTACTTGAATACAGGATAGGCAGGGTTGCATACAAATGGTAGTTCCGTAAATATTTAAAATATGTTAGTTCATTCAATATTTGCATCTGGGCCAATAAATAATAACAAATATAGCCGAAAAAAACAAAGTTTCAATTAAAACGAGTTTTTATAACCCCCCATAAAATTCCGATTAATTTTAAATACGAAAATAACGATATTTTTTCATGGAGATTTATTTTTTTAATATACCTTGTTTATACCTACACAAAAACCGGATTAGCAAAAAACCGATTGGACTCAACATATATTTCTTTACAGCATTTATCCCCCTGTCTTTATAGCGCACTCGATAAAGTCTTATTCAAAAGTAAACAAAATTGCTATTTTGAAACGACATTTTTTTAACAAATAATTTGCGCGGTTGACCGAAATGGAAACAAACAATAATTGTAATTTATTATAACAATAATACGAATTTAAAACGGGCTGTATAAAGAAAACCAGCCTATTGTCACTTCACTTTCCAATGGTGCTGATTGCTGCAAGAATTATTTAGCGATTTTGAGCATAATCAACACAATATATGCACATAAATATGTATTATTTCACAGATCTCAGGGTCAGCTTAGAAATACGTTACCAAAATTATATAAAATTTAAGTATGAATTATTTTTATTTATAACGTAAAAGCGCTATCTGTCCCAATCTGATAAGTATATTTCCCCTAAAGTTAACCCATTTTATTTAATTTGTCTCTCGTGAAAATATATATTTTATTTATAATTTTCAGATATGTACATATATTTTAAATTTTTGCTTTAATTTTTGTCTCCTTTTAATATTTAATTAGATACCTTAAGATTAAAATAAGCTTAAAACGAAACAGCACAGCAACCCTTTTCTGTTCATCTTGAGAACACAAAACCCTCTTTTGTTAAAATTCGGCGCTGCACAAAATCCTGGCTTTTATATTTTCCAACAAAATACCACTTCGCAACCCTGGATTTTCACGAAGCGTTTCATTCGGGTCGTAGTTTGGCTACTTCGGGCCATTCGGTGTTGTATGCCATATTGGCTGCCATATTGTTCACACTGTCATCGCCATATTGAACACCCTGTCAACTATCTGTCAACCCTAAGATATCTCACTTGTATTCTTCCACAATGACCTGAATAGCTCAACTGACAGGCAGTCAGTTCTACCAGCTGTGCTGTTTTGCAATCGAAAAATTGTTGTTCACACCTCTTTGTAGTCAAGTGGTGGAACATCGATTTCGTTGTCATCGACTGTTTCACTTCAGCAAGATCTTCCCTTCATAATTTAAGTTTGTCTTGTACATCGGCCACTCGGTAAGTGGCTGTTTTTACAAGAGTTCACACTGGTATTGAAACCTTCCGTTAGTCGCCGAACTTTCACTTCTCTTTTCACAGTCCATTTGACATGCGGTTGAATTTAAAAATCAAAACACACAGACATACATATCGCTCATTTACTTCAATAGTGTCATAACTAAAAAAAAGGTAAACTTTATTTACCTATACTCCCATAGTATAAATTAAAATTAATACAAATTTTGATCTAGTGAGATACTGGTAATCGATACAGACATGAAATTTTTACACAACATTGAAGAAGGGGTAGTGGTAATTTCTGCATACTCAACTCAATAATTTATATTTTTTTTGGGTTATGGCCATGGGCGTACCCAAGCATAAAGCAGATTAGAAACGTTAAAATATAGCTACAAAAAATTCATAATAATTTACCTCATTAATTTTTATCTTTTTGACCGACTTCAAAAAAGGAGGAGATTATCAATTCGTCGGAATATTTTTTTTTTTATGTATGTTACGGCATAACTTTGGACCACGTCAACCGATTTCCAAGTGGTCCCATACTAATTTGGTTTAGATCCGATCGTTGGATCATGAAGAAATTAACGGTACTTCTAAATTTTTATAAGAGAATTGAAGTCGGTTGTTTTTTTGCTTAAAAATTACTTGTTATTGTAACAATTGATCTGTACCGAACCCTACATATAAAGTTTATTATGAACTTACTGAATAGTTAAAATGCAAATTTGTTAGTTACCTTAATTGCATGCAAATTTTAAAATGCGACTTCGTCTTTACACCAAAATCGTAATTTTTTCATTATTTCAAACCGGTTTCAAAAAAAAGGGGGAGGTTGTCTATTCGTCGGAATATTTTTTTTATTTACATATGTTACCGCATAACCGATTTCGATAATTCTTTCTTAAAGGAAACTTGGTACCTCAGACCATCCTAATTTGGTTTCGATGCGATTATTGGATCATGAAGAAATTAACGGTAATCTTAAAGTTTTACATGAGAATTGAAGTCAGTTATGTTTTTTGCTAAAAAATTACTTATTTATTTAAACAATGGTCTTCGAATGTCTTCTGCAAATCGATAAATTGTTTTAATGATCATTTCATTTTTGTTTTTTCTACAAAACCTCTGTGATCGCTAAGCATACCTAAACCTAAATTCAAGTACAAACTAAGAGAAAGGGGTTTGAAGGAGCGCTTGCGCCCCCAGGCCATACCTGCGTACACCCATGGTTATGACACTATTGAATTAAATGAGTGTTATGTTTTCTATTTAGGAAATCCACACAATACCTTTGGAAAGTAAAAACTACATGTACTTATAGTCGATTTTTTATTGGCAATGAATACTAATGAGGCCTTAAAATACACGCATCACTAAAATTCGTGAGTACTTGTACATATGAACATGCATACATATATAGCTATACTTATATATGGATTTACAAACATTACAGTTACGACGTCTTATAAAAAATAAAATTTATTTATACCAAGTATACATTTGGCAAACGGCAGTCGGTACAACAACCTCGACCTTTGGCACCGCTGTAGAGCAAAAACCCAAAACAAAGTCCAGCCATAGCGCCAGCAATATGTGCCTCCACGCAAATACGGGGGCTCATGTTATTGTTGACCAGATAATGGAAAGAGGTGAATCCAGCATCGCTGACGCACAAAATCAACAAAGCTGCAATGCGCAGATAACGATGTGGCAATCGATAGAAGTTCTGATAAAGAAAAATATGAAAATGATGTATGTTTATAGTATATAATTTGCCAACTACAAATAGAATATATGTATGTAATTTGTAAGTGAAGTTACACCTAAATCATTTTTGTAAGTGTCATATAAAGTACATGAATACATTAGTAAGGTGCGAGGCGTTGAACTCACCTTCGCCATATGTGGCACATGACTCGCTAGCAGGGCATAAACACTAGCCGACGCGCCCAGCAACGATAGTTCTGGCTGAGTATATGCGGTGGCCAACGAGCCGGAAATTCCACCAGCAAAATAAATCACGGCTACCTGCCAGTGGCCCTGCTCACTCTCCAAACAAAAGCCAATCATGCACTGTAAACAAAGAAGAGAAGAATGGGAAAGCGTTGCGAATATTTTCCAACTTTGTTTAGGAGAAAATAAATAAACAGAGAAGCTTCATAGTTCGCTTAGTTTTAGATATGTATGTATGTATGTACAAGTGTTCATGTTATTGTAAAAATTATTATGTTATTAGCACTTTGAGCTGTCCGAGGGCTGTACAAGTACGTTGGTTTTAACTAGTGAATGCCGATGAACTCTGGGTTATTTGAAATACTTGCCTGTAGTGACACGTTCAGTAGCAGGTGTATGAGATCAGAATGCAGTAATGTGTAGGTGAAATAGCGCCAGAAGTCTTTAGGATGTCCGGGGATGTGCATAAAGCGCTGAAAAATGCAGCCATTTGCGATGTGAAAAAGGAAAACCTATAGTTTTAAAATTATATACGTATTAAAGTCAGTCAATTACGATTTAGATTTGTTTATAAACAAATATAGGTAATCGCGTTCAATGCATACGTACATACTATGTACTTACTTATTATGTATGTAATTTTAAATTCAATATACATATTTCCTCATTGGGGGCTATGTGCAAAAGTCGGTTAGTAAACTCCTGCGGTTTTTGTCTTAAAACGGTGTACCACAAATACATGTACTAAATACATATGTACATATGTATGTATGTACATATTTATATTGACAAATACCTTTAGTTTTGCAAACGCAGCCTCGATAAATACAATCATATGTATGTATATACATACATTAGACTGCATTACCATAAACAGCTGCGGTTTTTCCGCCGGGGTTACAAAATTTATTATATTTTAAGACGTCCACCATAATATTTCGGAAAAATATTAAGATTTAAGCGAGCTGAACCGATTTGAAAATACTCCAAAATGAAGTTTATTATGAATAAAAATAGTTTCTTAAACAACTTTTTGAAAAAAGTCCCCTCAGATGACAAAACAGATTAGGCTTAAAAAATCTGCGTAAAAATATTTAAACATCTTTTCAACGGAATCGCAATAATGAAATTTTTTATGCTGTTTGATTTGATGAAGATTGATTTACGAAAAGCTTAAATAACTGGGCCAAAACTGTTTTGATTTAGACTTATGGGATCTCGGTAGAAAGGTATTTTCCCTCTATTTTTATTTATGTGCAAAAAAAGGTCATTCGTGTCCCAATTTTTTTTTTTCAAATACCAACACATCTTAATTCAACTTTGAATGTAGTTCGTTCATCCTACCATTCTCTTTCACCCTTTGAATGAGCTTATTAGCAGAGAAATAAGGGGTGAGAAAATACCTTTCCGGTGATACCTCATAAGTCGAAATCGGAAGAGTTTAGGTTCAGTTATTCAAATTTTTCTTATACCAATCTTTGAAAAAAGAAAAAAACCGCATCAAAAATCTTATTATTACGATTCCGGTCAATTTTTTTTTTTTTTTTTTTAATATTTTTATATAAATTTTTTAAGCTTAAACCGTTTTGTCATTTAGGCGGATTTTTTCAAAAAACATCTTTAAGAAACTGTTTTTATTCTTAAAAAACTCCATTTTTGGAGGTATTTTGAAATTGGTCCAGCTCGCTTAAATCTTCATATATTTCTGAAATATTTTGGTGGACGTTTTAAACTATAGTAGATCTTATAATTCCAATGGAAAAACTGTGCCGATTTTATTTGTTGTATGGGAGTGATGCAGTTTAATATACATATGTCAGGTTACATGCTAAAACCGACTAAAAGGACCTCTAAACGGTGACTTAAAAAGGCGGCTGACAAATCTTGAAAACAATGAAATGGTAATGACCAGGGTAATGGCAATGATTATCGTAATGGCAGTGGTAGTATTAACGCTATTGGTAATTATAATTGTAATAATGCTGGTAATTGTAATAGTATTACTAATAGTAATGGTAATGCTAATTCTACTGGTTATACATATGTAGCAATGGTAATAGCAATAGTAATGGAAATGACAATATTAATGTAATAGTAATAATAATGATAATTGTAATGGTATTGGCAATGGTAGTTGTAATAATTATAAAAATGGTTATGGTCATAGTAATGGTTATGGTTATGGCAATGGCAATGACAATGGTAATTGTAATGGTAATAGTAATGGTAATCGTAATGGTAAGGATAATGGTAATCGTATTAGTAACAATTATCGGAATGGTAATGGGGATATTAATGGAGATGGTATTTGTAATGGTAATGGTACTGACAATTACAGAATATTCACAAAATACTGCGTGTAGCATTCATGTGGTGAATAAGTATTAGCGCTATTTTATAACTTTTCATACCAATTATAGTCATGTTATATATGTTGCGGATTGAGTGACATACAGGAATAGTTGGTACATACCACAGTATGTGGGTATCAGTGTTGCCAGAACTTTTTGTGCCGACCGGCTATATTGGCAAAAAACGGCTAAATTGTTTTAACTAAAGTTCACATGTTTTATTTAAAGAAATCACAAGTAGAAGGACTAGTAAAATCATTAATTTTTTTTTTAGTTAATAAAGGTTATACGTAACAAAGCTTTACACCACTCGTTAAGTAAATCACAAAAACAGACACTGGTAAATTCATTACAAATTATTTTTGTTTAACAAAAGAAACTGTCGATATACGTACAACAGAAGTCGTATTTGTATTACTTAAATAAAAAAAAGAGATCACTTACAAATTTATGGCGTTTTCTTTTTTATTAAAAAATTTTGCCTTACATTGTAACATTTGCACTAGGTTACTTTTCTTCCTGAAAAATGGCTATATTAGTATAAAGTAGTTTGCTTAGTCGGAGGGCGATATTTTAACAAGTAAAGCTGTGAAAGTGCTGAAGAAAACAGGCCTACATTTTACTATTCTACTATTTAATTATATTTTTATGTCTATATATTCGATGTTTTCAATGTCCTACTCACCCTCTCGCATGCCTGTCTCAGAGCAATAATAGGCAACAATAAAGTATGTTGGCACCATGATACAATTATTTACAGGTATTGTCTTCCCATAAAGTTTTGCTATTTATACTTAGTTTATTTAATGTTTATTATTTTTTTATGAAAATATAGCTGATTACTCAACAAACACCATACAGGTATCAATTTCAGACATTGTGGAAAAATTTCACCAACTTTTAAATTTTTAATCAGCATATTAACAAAATGGTATGTATGCAGTTTTGAAGTCCATTAAAATTTAGTATAATATGGTGAAAATTTTAAGTATGTAGCTAGGACTTGCCGTTGATTTTTGTAATTTTTTTTTTTTTAATGGTGTTAAGAATTTTTTCCCTACAAAGTATGTGCTACAATTTTTTATATGTTGAAAAATGCGGAACACCGTCAACCAAAAATTGTCAATAATCAACGGTAAGTGCCAGCTACCTCAAATTTGCACTTTACTTACTAAAATTTTAGATTTAAAAAAATGCTAAATTTTCATAAAATTTGCATAAAATATGAAAATTGGGTTTAAATGGTGTTTGCAAGTAATCAGCTATACTTTCATAAAAATATAATAAGCGGAAATGTGGCGTCCCAGTTCATATTTGGGTCACGGTATATTTACATAAAATAAAAATCATTCAAATCGGCCCAGTATTTTAAGACTTTTCATATGAAAAAATGGAAACTTGTATGTACATATATCTAAATTTTAATAAAATACGGCAAATAGCGAAATCGGCTAACTTTTTTTTCAAAACGACTAACAAATCGGGTGCCGGCTAAATCGAATGTTTTCCGGCTGTTTGTTGTCGCAATTGGCTAAATCTAGCCGGAAAACGACTATAATGGCAACACTGGTAGGTATGCAGGTTTATGAACGAAGATACATGTTTACATACATACACTTACATACGTAAATATGTATAAAAGCTAACGCACGACTTCATGGCTGATTGCGTGGGATAAAGATTGCGGCAAACATGAGTGAATATGCATGTAAAAGTTTCTTGTACCTATATTCACAGCCAAGTTATGGATTGCACCTGGCTTAGCGACACAGAAGCAGTAAGTAAAAGTAAAACCAGGTCAGATGGTCTAGTGAGTTATGTTCAACTTGACAAAATAGAGTTACAAGTGTTGATTAGGATGTCTCACGAAAAAAAACAGTCGCTTAATCAAATGAATCCGTTTATAACTCTCACACAAGTATTTTGTTTAAATTCAATGACGCTAGTCAACTGGGCCGCTCTGAGGACACATTTAAATAGATATGTTTTATTTTTTTTCAAAAAAAAAAAAAAAACGGCAGTACAGCTAGGTCACAACCATTAGCAGATTCAGTTACATAGGTTGGGTTAGAAATTAAACATTAATGTCATTTAAATTTATTATTTTGTGCACGACTGTCCCATAATTATTTCTGGAATAGTTCAGAATTATTGCAGGACCAAATTCAAACCAGTCCTAAAGTGATTCTGAAAATTCGTTAACTTGTACCGAAATGATCTCGAACTAGTCTTTAAAGGCTCCCAAAATGGTTCCTTAATAGCCCCAAAATAATCCCGAACTTTTCCCGGAATTCTCCTCAACTAGTAGCAAGATGATCCCAAGCTATTCCCGAAATGGTCCTGAAATAGTTTTGATCCAGTCCCGATATGCTTCTGAACTAGTCCCGAAATGAGCCAGAAATGATTCCTGAACTAGACTCAAATGTCGCAGAAATAACTCCGAAATGGTCACGAAATGAACCCAACAAGTCGTTAAGTGGTCCTGAAATAGTCCAGAACAGGCCCTGAAGCGGTCGGAAACGTCCAGCATTTGTCTCGAAAATTCTTGAAACTCTCCTGAAACGGTCTCTAATAGTCCCACAATGGGCATAAAATAGTCCTGAACTAGTCCCAACTTGATCCCGAACTAGTGAAATAGTTCTGACTAGACCCCGCAAGGATCCATAACTAGTCCCGAAATGGCCCTGAAAAACCCCCCAAACTATCCCAGTAATCTTTGTTTGTACACACACAAGAAGAAATTACAGATTTACTGCTAGGTTACATAAGAAGCAGTTTACCGCAATTTTCCGCTGCGTTAACGCAAGTTTTACCCACACCGAGAGCTAAGATGTTTATACATCAAAAAAACCTTATCAACACCCTGCAGACAAAAATTATCAATCGATTAAAATAACCAACTTCTAGTTAGCTTTTTTTGTGGGAGTTCGATAAATAACTAACTTTTAATTAGCTATGACAAAACTGACTTTAAGTTAGTTACAATGTCGTGCAGGAGTCATGCAGGCGTTATCGGGAGTCTGTTTTTTACAAGTTTCTATTTAAATATCCTCATACAAAAATTACTTTCAATACACTTTTTTCTGAACTTCGCAGATTCTTTTTCGAATACAGGACAAATAAAAGGAAGATCGAAATTATATATGTATTATCATTTTGAAGTTATGTCTGATGGTGTTCGAATATGGGACCACATACAGCAGAATATGTAAACAAATATAAAATGTAATAAGATAAAGTAAACAAATAAAAAAGTAAAAAAGAAAAAAATTTGTTTTTCTTATTGATATTTTATGTCCAAAAGTAGTTAGCTATAAGTTAGTTGACACCTAATGCAGAGAAAACCAGTTCTCACTATTTTGCGGCAATCGCCCTTCAAAAGTAGCTAGTTACGGCCAAAGAAAATAGTTAATATATAGTTACCACTAGTCGACTGCTAGTTAGTAAATAGAAACTAGTCCCATTTCCTGCAGGGCATATTCACTTTTGACGCAATTGTCTGGAATTTTTTTTCGCTTTTGTGAACACTGGAACAACTTGCTTAAACTTAAAGGATAATATCGAGGGCACCGTTTTTGCTTTTTTAATTTAAAAGATCTACACCATGAATGGTTAAGAACATACCATAATTAAAAGATTACCATCTGTTTCAGAAGCACACGATTTTCTAACGATCTAAAGTTTCATATTTAGGTTTAATCCTTAAAATTACCGAAAATATGTTATCAGCGGAAGCACCTACATATGTGCTGGGTTATTTTTCTAGGATTACAAGGCTAACCCATTCACATCCCATAATATTTCTACTGAATAAATATGTCTGAAATTTTTCGGGGAAATTTTTTTAGTTATTCTCAATGTGGTCCAGCTCACAAATGGCCTTGCATCGAGCCAATAGAAATATACCAAATTTCATTTCCTTGAGAACTTACTTTCCTTTGCATTTAGCGTGAGTTGGTCAAATAATCGTATATACCCAAATACTTTTTAAAAGCTCAAACAAACACTCGTACATATTTTTCATATGTATGAATTTGAAAATATGTATATCTCCGTGTCATTTGCCTCAGATTCTTCTTCTTTCTCTTATTTGGCGCTGTAACCGCCTAAACGATTTTGGCCAAGTTCAATAAAGCATGCCAGTCGTTTCTCTTCTGTGCCAACTGACGCCAATTGGAAGTGCCTTAAGATTAAGATTACATTTTATAATTAAAAAAAAAAAGCTTTACATTGGCAAATTGAAATTAATTTCGCAAGCTCAAAAACCGAAAACCGCAAAAAGTGAATATTTAAACGCCTGCTATCACATATGTATGTATTGTACATAAATTAATTCTAATATACGCATAAACAAGAACAACTTGTCGTTTGTAAATAATCAAATGGATCAGCGGAACCACTTCAAAAGTGAACAGCAATGTGGTTTTTGTCAATTTTTTTCGAATTGTGCAATCTTTAATGTGAACAGTGTTCGCTTTGTTTTTGTTATCGTAGCTGTTGTTTACTTTATGCATATATAAATGTGCATTCCCGTACATACGTTAATAAACTGCATTAATGGAAAGTGAAGACCAAATATTTATAGCGAAAAGAATAGTATAAAGTGAGCTAATTACTTTTTCTTGTTCCACATATAACTCCACTTGTATGTACTATATATGTATTTACGTATGTGCATACAAATACGAATATAGTACATACAGTGAAACCCGCTTAAGTACCAACTCCCCCCCCCCCCCCCCGTTTAAGTACCTAACCCGCTTAAGTAACCAACATTTTTGGACACCGTGATTTTTTTAATATAATCAGAAGAAAATCCCTCTCTTAAGTACCTCCCCGCTTATTCACCCAACCCGCCTAAGTACCTCAATTTCTCGTGCCCCATTTACAATTTTACTTGTAATTTTCCCCTTTTAAGTGCTCTTTTAAAATTCCTTAAAATACTTACGTATTTTCAAATTTGCTAAAAAAAAAAATCTAAAAAATCAACGGTAACTTTTAGCCACTTGAAACTTGCAGATTATTGAACTAAAATTGAATAGACTATAAAACTGTATACTCAAAAAACACTTCTGAGAAAAAAGTTTGAAATTATGATGCATTTTTTTAAGTGTTCTACAAAATCTTAAGCTTAGGTTTATATGGTATTTGTTAGGGAATGAACTGCATTTTAATTGATTGAAAAACCTTAAAAATTAATAAATAAACTTAAGTGGCAAACAATATCATTTTGAATTTGGTACATTTGGTACATCGAGGTACTTAAAAGGGTTCTTTTTAAAAGCTGAAATTTTTCGTGAGGTACTTAAGCGGGTTTTACTGTACTCGTAAATACATATGTATGTATGTGCTTGCATGCAATATTTAACAAATTCAAACGCAGTAAAATGTTACTCATACGCCTGTGCGGTCGCTGGAAGTGCAATTTAAAGTGGCAATAAAAAGATTCCATTCCAAAGGTTGCATTTATTAAAATAAAAACTTAAAAATAAAACTTTGATAAATTTCCACACTACACCTGCACACAACACATTATGATAATGAACCATGGTATGCACCACAAACGCCTTCTTTCTGTTAAATCATCGATGAAAATTTTTGCGATCGGCGCTAAGCCATTTTGTAAGAGTAAGGGCTTAGTAGCCGGCGCAGGAGGCCGTTCCACCTTTCTTTTACACATTGTAACATCAATGATAAATCGACGCACGCTGCCGCATTTTTTGCACACTACAGTTTAACTTCTCTCACAGTTTCCCAAGTTCAGGCGGTGTTTTCAATCTAACTTTTAAGTATATTCTGTCGATCAGCCAAACGCCAAGCCGGCTAAGCTTACCGGAACGATGACACTCACGTCGCCACTATCAATCGATATTACTTTTTATTAGTTTTTGAGTGCGCTATTTTAAAATGTTCTTCATTTTACGGCGACGCGTGCACCTACAATGCCGCCGCACAACTGATTGAGCAGCGCGATAGTTCATCGATCGCTGATCGTGGTTGATCGGCGCATGCGGCAAATTAATGATGGCAAGACATTGGCAGTTATATGAATGAGTGAATGTTTATTATTTTTCGGAGAAGAATATAAAGAGGGTTTAAAGAAATTTAAAAAGTAAAATTATTTTCTTTACGTTAACGCAACGTTAAAGAATTGTATGTACAAAAACAGAAAGTAAGCAAATATAAAATTGGTGAAATTAATTAAAAATATATTGTTCATATGCTGGCACAACTGAAAGAAAAGAGATTTTTCAGAAGGCTAGTTCGAAGTTTTCAATTTGTTCCCAAAATGTATAAAAAAAGAGATACATATTGTCTTCTCTTACGCAAAAAGTCATATATGTAATACTCCTATATTGGCAGTAAGAGCTAGTACCGTCCGAAAACACTAAAGTACAGATAAGTATATCAATAAACATGTACGAAAGAAAAGGAAAACATACGTTTATAAATAAACATGTACACAACACATACACAAAAACGGCACTCAAGTACACAATACATTGACAAAAACGGTACTAGACTATCTCGCTTTGATTTCGGAATGCTTACACATTGAGAAGTTAGCTTACTGCCAATATAGAAGTATTACATATATGCAAAAAGTACACAAGATTTTAAATACGTTAAATTCAGAATCAATCCTACAATTTAACTTAAGATTTTACTTTTTCCCGAATAGATCGGTCGTTTTGTTGAAGTGGGACCAATTTTGATACTACTGTAACTAGTAAGTATGTTTTAATTATATACATTAGGGTACCTCACTAAAATAGGTGCGGATTTTCCGGTGGAACTTTAAAATTTGTTATATTCTAAAACTTCCGCCAAAACATTTTAGAAAGATTTGCGTGAGCTGAACCGATTTGAAAATACCTCCAAAAATCTCATTATTTTGATTCCTTGGATAAAATTTAGAAACCTTTTTATGCAGACCCTTTCAACTTTAACTTTTCTATCATCCGAGGTGACTTTTTAGAAAAAATATATTTAAAAACTACTTTTATTAAAAAAAAAATCCATTTTTGAAGGTATTTTCAAACAGGTCCAGCTCAAGTAAACCATGAAATGTTTGGTACGGACGGAATAATTGGCACGCCCTCTGCTCTTAGGGGCGGAAACATTAAATTTCATCCGATTGCGATGAAATTTAATTTGTGCTCTCTCTTTTATAAGAAAACCCTAAATATAAAATATGGGGAGGATTGGATCACTATGACGTCCAAAACTCACAAAACATATGGGCCTAGTCATTTAAATGTGATGGAATTTTGGTTAATTTTTGTTTCCTGCTTTCCAATCTCAGAGAACAATTGTTATACTTTAAAATTACATAGGTGTAAATATTCTCTTTTCTCTCAATGTTTAGTGAGATTTTTCCATTGCTCGAAAAATTGTTTTCGCGAAATTATGCAAAAAGAAGCTACAATAAAAAATTGCATATATTGCAAAGTCGCGCGAAAAGATCCAATTATATATTCGAAAACTATTTCTATATTTCAAGGTAAATTTTTTGATAAAAAAAGGGGACAATACCAAAAAAGGGATAAATACCTTCACCTGAACATTCGACGACACTTATTTAAATAATTGACTACAGTTTAAAAATAAACACTTGGTTTAATAAGTTAAGCGCCAAACTGTTCGTGGATAGGGGCTGAGTAAATTATGTAAAATTTTGTATTTATGACTTTTGCTTTTCCCTCTCTAAGCCCAATCGTTTTTTTTATCAACTGTCACCATGAATTTTTTCTACCTGCCTCCATATAGTCGAAACACTGTGTATCGTAAGTAAAATAGATTTTATATTTCCGATGGAAAAATTGTACCGATTGTTTTTGTACGGATAGTGATGCACCCTAATATACAAGTAAAACATAATTCAAATTTTTTTTTAATTAATGCAAATCAATTTTTGTTTGCAAAAGTTAACAAAATGAAAAAAAGTTACCAAACAGTTTTAAAGCTACAAATTTTGGTAAAAAGTGTCCAATTGTGGCAACCGTGATCAGGCGTAACCTCTAATATTTTAGTCGTTAAAGATGACAAAATGGGTTTTTTTCCTTTGAGCAATGTATTTTCATTTGAACTCGACCAAGGCAAAAATTTAAAACAAATGTAAACCCTTAAGACTCCATCGCACAAAATATTTATTTGAAAGTAAGTAATGGGTACACATGTAAGTTTTGAAGGATTTTTCTCGATTTTAAAACTTTATTGAACAAAATTGGTACAATGTATTTTATGGCAATGCAATGGTGTCTTCTACAGAAATCAAGCCTGCTGCGGTAAAGGCGTCTGCATCGACTGAAAAAAGGCAATCTGATGGTGCAAGGTCTATAAGGCGGGTAGGATAGGACTTCTCATCCGGTATCATCAAGATAAGTTTTGGCTACTTGTGCGATATGCGGCCGAGCATTGTCAGGGTAAAGGATCAATGAATTATGTCTGGTTGCCCGATCTCGCCCGTTTTTCCGCAATTACTCGCGTCAACTGTTGCGTGCAGAAAGCACCGTCGATCCTCTGACCACTTTTCAGAGGCTCATGATACAGGATTCACTGCTGGCCCTACCAAGTGCAGAGCAGTACAATGATGTCAAGGATATTTGGCTTCGGCGTCGATGGTCCGCGTTCGCTGTGTTTAACTTACGCCTTCTGCCGCTTTGGACAATCGTAATAAATCCATCTTTCACTGCCGGTGACAATATAATTCAAAAATGACTTTACTTTGTGCGGTTGAAAAAGCATTTGGGAAACACTGGCTCGCTGTTCGATATCTCTCTTTCTTTGAGTCCGCCGGGCACCCAGTTCCCGACTTTCATTTACATTCCAATGGTTTTCAATCGCAAGGAAATGTCTTTATTACAGGTTTATAGCCTTCCTTCGCTTTCCTTGTCGGTTGTGTCAAAACCGCCACTTTCGAAACGTAAGATCTACCGCTCATAGGCTAAAATTGGTGTAGCATCACTCTCTTAAAGCATCACGGGCAGGAAAATACCAATACTGTTTGTAGGCACAAAAGCTGATATAGTCGTAGCACAAAAAAAACATGTTGTTTATACTTTGGTGGAATTACACATACTAAAAAATATGGTTAAATGATGACGCTTATCTCCTTTAGTTTCCGAGATAATGACTACAACTTTTTCGATAATTTAGTAAAAATTTAGTTGGTGATGCAGTCATATTAAATTAATCAATATCATAAAAATTGCGTTCTCCATTTTTGGATATCTCTTTTAGTTTCCGAGATATTGAGTAAAAAGTGTCGTTAATTTGGTAGAAATTTTGATCACTTTTTGTCGTATTTCATACAAAGTGGCTGCCAAATTCTGGACAATGACGCTTACGACAAAATTTTACTAAAGAAAATCCTTCATAAACTCAAAACTAATTAACAATAAACATTCAAAATTAAATATTTTAAAAATTTTGTGAACTTGTAACATTTTCAGAGACTTTGGAGAAAATATATCTTCGCATTTTTGAGAAATTGCATTCCAAACTTCAATCACGATTTCCCACAACCTGCCGAAATTAACATACGACAATATTTTACCCAGGCGACGATATGTATTTATATGGGCAAATCTAAAAAATAGGTACACTTTCCAAAAAAAATTCTAACTTTTAAATTTGTGAGCCCACCTATGTTTTATATATCATTTTATTCGTAATCTCTTAATAAATCGATTAATATAAGTGTAATTCATTTTCATCAAGTGCTTCAAAAGTTAGACGAGTAATAAACGTGAAATAGAAAACAAAAGAATAAGCTGGGTTCACATTACACTGTTCAAGTTGTTAATTTTGAGCAAAGATTTTGAAAGTTGAACTCTCTTAATTAGGATGTTCTAAATTCAATGGCATACCCCGTTTTACCAGATTGACTCCGGTTTTGATTCAAGTATACATACGTCAATGAATTATATCCAAAAGCAACCAGCTCGATAAAGCTTACAACAGTGAAAATAGAGCTAAATAACACGAAGTTTACCTGTTTTTTTAGATTTACCCATATGTATATGTACAAATGAAATTAAACAATTTTTCATCAAGATTTTCAACTTTTTATTCAGATTTTCTAGAAAATTTTCGAGTATGAAGTTTTATAGCCAATTAAATTCTGGAGACTTTTACGTTGGTGGCATGAAGTTTTTGCCTTCGAAGACCCATAGTAAAATTTTCCAATTTTCTAGAATACATCAATCCTCTTACGACCTTCGAAATTTGCTTTTTGTGGGGTTTTCTTGAAGTAAGGGTCAAAACGACCCTTTCAGACGGGAGCTGGTGGGTTAAAATGTTCAATGAAAATACTTCCCATGCAATTTTACTAAATATGTCTTAACCTTTAATTTCGCTCAGACATTTATTTTAACCAGTTTTTCCATTTTTTTGAAAACTATTTAGGCCGAGACATGAAAACTTTAGTAGGCCATAAAATAAAAATAGGAGAGTGCAGGCTGATTTCTGCTGAGGCACTGTGTAATTATAGAATTATTAATATTCGTCTGCATGGTATACTTTGTTATGATAATATGATGGATACGATTCCTTTTAAAATTATATAAAAATGGTTCCGGTGATACACCCCGTGAATATGTAACTTTCCAGGAGGTGTCTCGACCACTTTTCAATACATATATATTTCTGATTCTAATTCAGTAACGCGGCTTTGGTACTCTAGTATGGACTCCAGCTAAGCAAATTCTTCGTTGGTACCGCTGACTGCTCTCTATGAGTATTGGATTGGTTTCGTATGTGTAGATACCTCTATATCAAATAGCAGTACTATATGGAAAATCCTTCCAGAAATATGACTTGTGAAAGTTTCGGTGTGTATAGGGGACACTACGCCTTTTTCCAATAATTTCTACTTTTCTTCATATGTATATGATTGATTTCATATATCTCTATACCAAGTTTCAGTACTCTACCATAATGCACT